GACAGTAGCGGCCCACAGACAAGGCTGCTGAGCCGTTTCCACCACTCCTGTCTTCCTCTCCACAGTGCCCCCGACCCCCTCTTGCGCTATGCTTGATGAGCAACATGTGTTCTGCTAACAGCTTGGAAACCAGTCCTTCTCTTTTTCCTTCTAACCCCATCCACCGTTTAGCAACAACCCTTGCTTTATCTCTCTGCGTTTCAACCCTCTCGCTACTGTCACCCATCCTCTAACAGAGAGGAGACAGCTTGTTGTAGCTGCACTAGTATCAGTGCTCTGCACCAAAGGCTGCCTAATCTCCACCACATAGTATTTTGTGCCCATCCACCCTTCTTCACCTTTAACTAGCTTAAAAGTAGTTCCCTTCAAAGCATAAAGGCATTTTATGTTGCTGTTTGAATGTGTGTGCATGCAGGTTCTCACTCACCCATATCCAAGTCTCCAGTTAATTGCTTGAACGCCATTCTCTTATTCCCTGCCCTTTTGGCTCACTTGTTTCATGTGATATTTTTGTTCCAAATTGTTGGTATGATGAAATTATAAAATATAGAAAACTATGGCCTATTACAGTCATTGTGTCTTTGAAATGAGACTACCTGGAAAGCAATTATATTTGAAAAAGCCACTTAGGCAAAGTTCTGCCCAACTGCCTACTTCCCTAATAGGATTGGATTCTGTGAAAACAATTACCAGGGCAATACAAAATACTGGCAAATTACTGATAAACTGTGTAATATGTAAAGTAATAATGTAAAAGGAAATACGGTCCATTAAAAACAGTTTTTTCTCAGCAGAGTTACATTATCTCTTCAATGTACGGGTTGTAAAATTTACTTTGCAATTAAAAAAAGGATTTTAAGCTATTGCTGAATGCCCAGACACGCTCTCTCTCTCTCTCTCTCTCTCTCTCTCTCTCTCTCTCTCTCTCTCTCTCTCTTTCAGTTTCTCTCTCTCTCTGTCTTTTAGTTTCTCTTTTTTTCTTATATAAACACAGCAAAAACACAAACACTTCCAAACTCTTTTCAAAACAAATAAACACCACTAACAATAGTACAATATATGCTTAACTCCATATTTTGAGTATATTTCATTTTTGTTCTGTCTTTAAATTAACTCTCAAGAAAATCACTTCAGGTACCATTACTGACATTCAATCATGCCACTGGCTTTGGACGAGCTTCTCAAGTCACACTGAATAATGGATGACACTTATCTCTTTTAAGGCTTTCTTTTAGAGTGATGCTCATTGTCTTCATTTCTGATTGGATTGGCCTATGTGAAACACACGAGTGTCCTGATTTGAACAGTGTGAGAGGTGGTTTTTTGGCTTCATATATTATGTGTTTTAAAAGGCTGACTTGAGTTTTGGAGATCAACTTGCATTAATGGCACAGTGTAAATTGCAATTCAGGCCTTGGTGACTGCATTTTATGTCTTTGTCATCATATTGGAAATCCAAAAAAAAGAAATAGCTTTAAGTAGTAGTATGATTATATTCCTACCAATCAGGTCCTTACTGTATGTATATTTTCTGTCAGCTTATTTGAATTGAATGATTGTCAGGCAACAGGAGAAAGTTACTTTAGATGTTCTACCTTGCCCCTGCACAACAGATGTACCTATCACATGGGTTACATATATCCAAATCCTATAAAAAAATATATCTTTGCTGACCTAGTCACATATAAAGTTGTTGGTTGTGAAGGGAAGGGGCACACACACTAGCAATTATTGTTCAACTAGTGTGTGGATATGGCTGGCGCTTGTAATTTTGTGTTGAAGAACAGAGTGAGGACTAGAGTGTATTCATTGTATTCACGTTAGGTTCAGGACCTGAAGTAATAAACTATACCTTTATTTCTACCATATCAATCATATACTATAATTCTCTCTCTCTTTTTCTCCCTCTTCCTTTCACACCACACACCTAAACATACACACACCCACTCCTACACACTTACACACATAGTAGTCTATACAAACTGATCATTAAAATAGGGACAACAGCGAGCTTTGCTCTAATTTCCCAGATGAGCGGCAAGCTGTTTTATTGCTTGCTTGAATTGTTGTAGGAGGATGTGTGTGTGTGTGTGTGTGTGTGTGTGTGTGTGTGTGTGTGTGTGTGTGTGTGTGTGTGTGTGTGTGTGGTGTGTG